TAAAGTCTGGAAAGATAGCACCCCCTACTTTAAAACAATTGAGCGTCAATATAAAAAAATGTTACACATATGTAAAAAGGGGATGCTATCTTTCCAGACTTTACAGTATTGTAAAAATATAAAAAATTATTTTATATGGACAAAAAGGGGTTAGTAATTTATTTTTAGAATAAAAATCAGAGGAATGTTTGACAAAAAAATAGGAAGAAAAACAAAAATCAGCTGATTTCTCAAAAACCCCTTTTTTTCCCGAAGCATCTTTTTGCTAGGATGGAACCCATGTGTGAATGACTGTAAGTGTTCAAGGTAGCATGCGTGCTTCAACACTTGTAAAATTTCCAATAATCAAACATTGCATATCAAATTGTTTCTTTTTCAACAGTCAATGCCGCCTTGACATCTTGTGATTATAATAATAATAATAGTATTATTATTATTGATTATGCAAAGCAAAATATTATCAATGAAAATCTTGTAATCACCCAGCAAGATCTGCTCAGCGTTTTGATTCCAATTAAAATATTTATAAGCTAAAATAAAAGACACCTCATACATATCAATGCAAGTAAAAAAAATGTAGTACCTCTGGTTAGTTATTAACACATTTTCTTTAGGAGACCCAAACCAAACAACAACGTTCATGTTTTGTCACCATGGACTCTGTCAAAAAATAAATTGTTTTTCCAAAAAAAAAAATCAATTTGCGTCTGTCCTACCAGAAAAAAAAAACCAATAGGATAAATAATTAATGTGTACGTGTTGATCAAATAACAAACTTCTTTAAAAAAAAATGTCGTTTAATGACAAGAAAAATAAAAGAAGCAGATAAGCTGACAAGGAACAACATGGGTAAGCATTTTAAGGATGGTTCCGAAGACAAAAAGTATGTGCCTTTTCAAATAATTATTTCTCTTGAATGAAAAAAGCTAATGAAGTATAAAAGATTGTGATTGAAAGAGAGAACTATGAAAATATGTTTACATAGAGACATGAAGGATGTTTGATCATGCTTTTTCATTCATTTTTGGTTTTAAAGTCTGTTGTACAGAAAAGTACTATGTCAATCGCTATAACAAAATCACTCATTGTGACATCACGTATGACTGATAATAAATCAACATAGTGGGTATTCAATTTTAAGAAATGATCGGCATTAATTACACTACATACATACAAAATGACTAAAACAATTTTATGTTACACAATTTTATTTTGCAATTTAATTAAGTTATTTATAACAGATAACAAAGTGTTTAAGTACTTCATGACTGTTAGTATTGGTATAAAGGACATATTAAAGTTTCAACTCCTGTAGTATATAAACTTGAACTAACATAACTGCTCAAAATTTTGAAATAAGTGTCAAAAAATTATAAAAAAAATAGTAACTACTCTCTATAACATATCTTTCTATGATGATAATAATGATGATGATGATGGTAATAATAATAACAGAGGACCTTGCTCTATAACTGACTGAGAATTAAGCCCAATTTATATGTCCCATATACAGTCAGCACTTGATATTGCGAGCGTGTAAATTCAAATACAGCTCGTGAGGTGTCCAATAAAATATATAAAATAAAATAAAATAAATAAAAGTCCAATATATTAATCTCCCTGTATCCACACACAGCTCAGGGTTCTCAATACTCTATACCAGGCCTCTGTATCCACACGAAGCTCAGAGCCTACTCAAATCTCTCTCTTTTGCGCAATCTCTCTCTCTACAGTACTAATGGAAGTACTGCTGGCAAAGCCTAAAAAATAATAAATAAATACTCCACTGTCTTACTAAGGCATCCCTTAGTTAGTATGGTCTTAATTTAAGGTGAGTATGCTTTTCAGCAAAGATTTATCAAGGTTTTATTAGAAGTTTGATTTATTGTAAAAGTGTTATGTGTCTTTATTAGCAATAATATTTCTGTTACAAGGTTATTATATTATTATTATTATTGTATCATGAACATTATTATTCTTACTTGGTCTAAAACCAAGCCTATTTATACCTCTTGAGGTATTACAAATAACATGACCTTTACAATATTTTGTCCAAT